GCTGCAACTCATTTAAAAATGTAACGTATAATTAAGAAATACAGATTAATAGTTAGTCATCTTTAATAGTCAAACTTATAGTCATGTTAGGTATGTTTTCAAGGTCATACATCAGATACATTTAGATAGATAAATAGATGATCTTCAAACACTTTAAAGACCTACAGAATATGACATTTAATATGTTTAATAACCTAAGGCTTTTCATGACAGTGAGACATGTCTGCTCTTAACAGCACCCATTTACTTCAAAAGAAGATAATGGGCATCAAAGACCCTCTATATGGAGTTTGCTTTCTTTATGGCAAAAGCTAGCCATTTGGACAAAGAAACTGCCCTTGCCTCAATTGCTGATGGTATGCTGTCGAAACTGGACCAGAAAGATGCAAAAGAAAAGTGACTGTCAAACTTTGTCAAGACAAGGTAGGATAGTCCTTCAAAATTTCCTGTTTCTCAGCAAAGTCTGTCAGGTATGCTAGGCCTGGAGGCCAAAGATGGATGCCCCAATGTTACAGAAGAGCTTTGGGTGACTGTCTAGGTAGCCAGATGTCCTTGTCGTTAGATAATATTACACCCTTCTGGGGTCTTTGATGAGTTAAAGACTAAATAATTAGATTTAAAGTTTTAAGGTAAATTAGGTATAAAACTTTACACTCAGCTGGGCAGTGGTGGCTCATGCCTTTAATCCCAGCACTTGGGAGGCAGAGGCAGGCGGATCTCTGTGAGTTTGAGGCCAGCCTGGGCTACAGAGTGAGTTCCAGGACAGGCTCCAAAGCTACACAGAGAAACCCTGTCTCGAAAAACCAAAACCAAAACCAAAACAAAACCAAAAAAAAAAAAAAAAACTTTAGACTCATAAAGATATTATCTTATAAAAAATATTTTCTCTGATTTTGCCAAATACAAATGGACTGGATATTGTAACTGTAATTCTCACTTGGCAACTGTTTTGTCGCATATAATTTTACTATGTGAAAGTCAAAAACCTTCCTTTTTTATTTAGATAAAAAAAGGGGAAAATGGAATATTTCTTTATACTCTGTTAATATATGTTGCTGTGATTGGTTTAAGAAAGGAGCTGACTGGCCAACAGCTGAACAGGATGAGGTGAGGCAGGAGAGCCAAACTGAGAACGCTGGGAGGAAGAAGGGTGGAGTCAAGAGTCTCCAGCAGAAGCAGAGAGAAGCAAGATGGGCGTGCCATACTGAGAAAAGCTACCAAGCCACGTGGCAAAGCATAGATAAGAAATATGGGCTAATTTAAATGTAAGAGTTGAGCTATTGGCTGAGCATTTATAATTAATATTGAGCCTCTGTGCGGTTACTTGGGCACGACTTGTGGGACAGAAACTTCTGTCTACCAGAAACAGAAACACAGCTATCTAAACATGACACCCCTCTCCCCATAAGAAATTGGAACAGGGCAGGGAGGAGGGACATAAACAGCACAGATACCAAGCCAGGGGTCAGGAGCACAGCTTGGTAGTGGAGCCCTCCCTCATCTAGTGAGGTCCTGTGCTGGGTCTCCCGCGTCTGGGGGGGGGGGAGAGCCAAGAGAGATGGGCGTACTTTATTTACATCATTCCTTCCACAGGGTTGGGGTTGTGGTGTCAAGGGAATGGTCATCAACGGCAGCTGTGCCTCTGACTCAGTTTCTCTCTGTCACTGGCCCCAGTGTCTCCTCTGTAAAACCATACAGCTGTAACTGCAAAGGGAGCGTGTCCACCTCCTCGGTGCTCTGATGACTGTCCTACAAGCATCTGGCTCCCAGAAACCCTGGGCATGATGCTTCTCCACCATCTTTCTTAATATTTTCTTGTTTCTTTTGAGACCTGTCATCCCTCACTTCATCTCTGAAGGTGTGTCTCTATAGGTTCCCAAGGAAAACACCCATAGACTTTTTGCTTGTATCAAGTAAATACCACTTTAGGCCAGCCACCCCATCTGTAAACCAGGAATAACATCAGATTGCAGGGGTACTGACTGGGGTTAATTATATACACTGTTTAGGGGCCGGGCAGTTACACAGGGACTCTGGGAGTTCTTGGCATAATACTATAGCATTACAATAATTCTGGCTTACAAATTACAGCTCAGAAGAAGCATTACAGGCGAAAGCATCTCTGACTCCAGGGCCAGCCGAAAGCAGAATGTAAAAAATAAGTTGTGAAATACAACTTCTCTTCCTAACCCTTCAGAAAAGCAAAGATAATGTTTCCATGTGCAGCCCACATGCAGGGAACAGGGAACAGGCGTCCAGATTCTGGGGAGGACTTTCTTGGCCCAGGTGGCCTGGCCTACTGCCAAGATCTGGCTTCCTTTTCCTCCTGAGCCTAGAAGCTGAAGTGAGGGAGCTGAATGGAGGTGGGGCTTAAAATGAGGATGTCCTGGCCTTTCAGGTTTTTTTTCCCCTTAATTGGGGCCTCCCTCCATGCTGGATGATTAAGTGCTTATGCAGCAGAGCAAGGATTTAAAGGGTAATTTGAGACATTTAAGACTAGGGATACCCAAAATAAACATCTTAGCATCAACTTCTGGGGCCTCTTCCTATGCCCCAGACACCACACATGCAACCTTGTGGTGTGTGCACACTTTAGGACTATTTCCTAGGGATGCTAAGTGAATAGGTCTCTCAGGTAAGAGGTAAGTGTTAGGTGAGATTGTTGGGATGTGGGTAACAGTGGGGTTTGGAAAATTCAAGTGGCCATAGGGAATGAGAGAGGCAAATAGCTTGACTGTGTGACTGAGTAGATAAAGCATAGCCTTCAGAGTCCTGGGCCTGCCTGTTGTCCACGGTGGTCTCAGGTATGAATCTGGGTAGAGGGAGAGCTTGGAAAGGATGACACTGTGGCCCACCATGTCCCAAAGTCTCAGGATGGGAGCTTGACCTCTTGCTCCAGAACATCCCGGGATTGCTGCCTACTTTAAAAGGTTACTACTCCTACAGGACACAGGACAAACAGTGTGCCGAACTCATATACACAAACTCACCATGTACAGATGGCAGATGGAGATTATGGACACAGGGTGCTACTTTGGCAAATCACCCTTCTTAAGGAATGTCTCAGCTCCCAGGGACTCACATCTTAGCCTTAAGCTATATTCCGGGGGTTGCCTAGCCAAATTTCAACTAGAATTAAGGTCGAGAAGGCAGGTGCCTTATTTTCAGGCAAGATTTTGGTCTTGACAAGGATTATGCTTACCCCCTCTGAGAGTAGACTCCAAGAAAAGCTACCCACCCCACTTTGATCTCGGTTTCCTCACACTTGGGTAATAACCACGTTGTTTTAAGTCACATCATTAAGAAGCCACCAGATCCCAGGGCTGGTATCCAAGTCCAGCCGTGTGATCTACCTCGGGGCCTCAGTTTCTCCACCTGTAAAGTCGTCTCTGGATTAAATAGAGCCTCTCCAGCTCCTGCGACCTTAAGCGTTAAATGTTTACATAGCTGGTTCCACTAGGTTGGCAGTGAACAGGGTTAAAGCCCCACTTCCTGCAAGGTGAAAAGGTAAGCAAACATTTCGACCTCCCCTTAGCCTTGCTCCCGGATTGGTGCCCCGCCGGGTCCCAGCCGCCTATCGCGTGTGCATCCGTCATCTGGATTGCTAATACACTCATTAGCATAAAGAGTCTTTCGAAGACCCGGCGCCGGCAAACCTGAACCGGAGTCTCTGTCCCTTTAAAGAGAAAAGGGACCTGCACTCTTTCGTTAAGGGCATCTCCTCCGCACGGTCCTCACGGTCAACTAAAGAGGTCGTGCGGTAGTCTACCCAGCCGACTACCCCGACGGTGGGCATCTATTCCTGGGGTGCACGGCGCGCGGGCCCCCGGGAACTGCGCAGACCCCTTTGGTCTCGGAGCTCGGCAGTCTCAGTCGGAAGGAGGCAGGGCCGGGCGAGCAGCAGGACTCCGGAGCCCTCGGGCACGACCCGGGGGCTGGCGCCCAGGCGGCCGCGGGAGGTGGCTCTTGCGGCAGGGGGAGGAGGGGAGGTA